GTAAATCGAAACCATCGCAACGAGACAGATAAAATGAGACGAGACAACATAGATGAGCTTGACCGAGTTCTTCGTACTCATCGAAACGATATGCTCGAGCTCGAACGAAGATCGGCTGTCGAACTTGAAGACCGTATCAGAAGTCTCGAACGACAAAGTGATGCGAAATTGGAGGAAGAGAGAAGCCGAAGATTACGTGAGGTCCAGGAGCTTGAAAGCCAAGTCACTACAGGTCACCAAGGGTTGAACCTTGCGTTGCAGATGAAGGAGCAAGAGCTTCAAATTTTGAAGACGGAGCTTGAAGAACTGAAGATTAATATCGATCGAGAGAGAGAGTTGAAGGAGAATGCTCTAAACACCATCAAGGAAGTTCAGCAAACCATGCAAAAGACAGGCGTTGAAACATCAGCAACGATTGGAACACTCGAAAGCACGGTCGCCAGCCTTCGCGCAAGAATTCATTTCTTGGAGTCTGGAAGCAAAGCCCAATCCGATAGTTTTGTTGAGATGGAAGGGCGACTCCAGGAAGCTCTTAATTCCGCAGAGGAATCCAAACAGAAGTTGATCAAGGAGGAGACTCTTCGTCGTATTCTTTTCAACCAAGTTCAAGAGCTGAAAGGAAATATTCGGGTCATGTGCAGAGTTCGACCAACTTTCAAAGAAGGTGCAGAGGGCGAGTGCGCAAAGATCTTATTTCCTGACACCGACAAGGAGTCAAAGGAGCTATCGATCATTGGAAAGGAGAAGAGGAGCAACTTTGGAAAAGTCTCGATTGAAACTCACGCATTCTCCTTCGACCGGGTCTTTGGACCATCAAGTCAAAATCAGGAGGTCTTCGAGGAAATTTCGCAATTAGTCCAAAGTGCTTTGGATGGATACAACGTTTGTATATTTGCTTATGGACAAACCGGCGCTGGAAAGACACATACCATGTCATCTGCTGATGGTATGATTCCCCGTGCCACTCATCAAATCTATGAGTCCGCCGAAGCTCTCAAGGAGAAAGGATGGACTTATACGATGGAAGGTAGCTTTGTTGAAGTCTACAACGAGGAAATTCATGATCTACTGGGAAGCTCTAGAGACCTTGACAAGAAGAAGCACGAGGTCCGACATGACGATAAGAAGAAGCAAACCACTGTTACTGGATTGGAGACTGTGCTTTTGGATTCACCAAACGCGGTAGAAGCAATTCTTAAGAAGGCGGACAAGAATCGTAGCGTTGCTGCCACCAAATCCAACGAACGATCATCAAGATCACACTCTGTCTTCATCTTGAAGCTTGTTGGACGAAACAGTTCTACAAATGAGACTTGCGAAGGTACCCTCAACTTGGTCGATCTGGCTGGTTCCGAAAGATTGAAGGTGTCTGGTGCCGAAGGAGATCGAATGAAGGAAACTCAAAACATTAACAAGAGTTTGAGTTGTCTGGGTGACGTTATCGGGGCATTGGGATCAGGAAAAGAGGGTACCCACATTCCCTACCGCAATTCCAAATTGACCTATCTCCTACAATATTCCCTTGGAGGAAATTCGAAGACTCTCATGTTCGTCATGGCTAGTCCATTGGAAGCTCATATGGGCGAAACATTGACAAGTTTGAAGTTCGCAACAAAGGTAAGCTTCTACGAATTTTAACAACATCACCCAATACTAACAATGATATTAGGTCCACAACACACATATTGGCACAGCGAAGAAGTCAACAAAAGTCCGAGATTAGTAAATGTTTAGCGTGAAGACATTATGATTGCAAAAGATACCATTAATGTTTGCGTTTGTGTTTTTATGGCGTTTCATTGTCGAATCCTTAATATAGGATGACTACTAGGAAAGATGGGACAAGTGCTCAATTCCATTTGATTTTGAGCGGAATTAGGGGATGGCGTTAGTCTGGATGATGGAGTAGGGTGTTTTGTAAGTCTTACGATGGATAGAAAGAATTTGGATCTTCTTCCTTCTGAATTGTTTAGTTCTCTGGTGTTTGGATGAACGGATTGGATGAATGAAGGGATGAATGGGGTGATAAGCTATAGGTGGTAGTGGTAGTTTGTCTTTCAAATCTGCACATATTCAGGAAAGAAGATTGTGATATGGATAGACTAGAATGAATGAAGATTTAGTATGATTATAAATAATTGGCTTCTCACTTGCAATAGCAGTACTGAGAGGTTTAGAATGTGAGTGAATGACCACTTGAGTTGAATTTGGTTGGAGTTTTGCTATGGTAATTAGAAATGGAGTGGAAGTTGAAGGTGGTGAATGCGGATCTGGTCTTGGAAAGAAGATACAATATTACTCCGCTAATTAATCCCACTGCTACAATTTCAAGAGCGGAGTAGTTCCATAGGATAGTGGGGAGAAAGGATGTTTAGGCGTTGGTTTCGCAGATTCTTAGGAAAGATGGATGTGATTAGAGAGTGTGGTTGGAGAGTGAGGGGGTGCGAAGGGCAAAGAAATAAGTGGAAGCGAGGAGGAAATTGTGAATGGAGGAGGGATGACTAGTTGTTGGTGGTATATGAAGATTGAGGGAAATGAGGTGAATGGAGTAAATAAAAGGAATGAAGGAGATAAGGGATATGTATGTGACGGGAATGGGGAATGAGAAATGGGGGATGAAGGAGATATGGTGAAGATAGAAGTGGGGAGGGGGAGGGAAGGGAAGGGTACGAAGGAAGGGAGAGGGTGAATGGAAGGTAGGGTGTGATAAGGAAGAGGATGATTTGAGAAGAGAAGGAGATTACGAAGATGGGGAGTGAGGGGATGTGAGGGGATGTGAGTATTGTTGGGGGGGGGGGGAACGGGTGGATGAGGTGGATGAGAAGGGTGGGGTGAGGGGTTCTTTGATGTGGTGGGAAAAGGATGGGAACGGGGAAGGGTGGGGAGGAAGATGAGCGGCGGTTCGGGGAATTGAAGAGGTGGGATGTTGGGGAGGGAGGTGGATGAAAGGGGTAGAGGGAGAGGGGAGGGGAGGGGGAGAAGTTCTGAATTTGTTGGATGGGCTGATTTTGTTGGGGAGGTTGAGGAGGGTAATTTATGTGATGTAGTGGGAGGTTCCAAATGCGGTAATATTAGGTTTATGATTGAACGAATGACAAGAGGGAAGGAAAGTTGTTGGGGAAGTCTTGCTTGGATTAATAACTTGAGCTAGCCACGAGATACTGTATCCTCTGGATGGATATTATCTCTGTTGGGGAGTGGTGAGTAGTATAACCTTTCAGTTATCCATCTAGATACTGTTTGAATATTCGCTTCTCCATTCTCATTTTTGGTGCTTCTATTGATGGTTCTTTGGGTGATTTTTTGTATGCGTTGGGGCCATGGATTGTAAGAGTGTGTTACGAGTAACGCGCTCGAGAAGATGGTGGATCGAGACGAGAGAGAGAAGAAGCATTTGGGATGGACGGTTTGGGTTGGATTAGATGTGCAATAAGGGGTTTCGTTTGGGGATACGTGTGGTGAGGATGGTGAGGATGACAAGCACGATAGAAGAGGATGGTCGAGTGAATGGTGAAGTAAGTGAGTGTTGATGGTGTGGAAATGGGGGTTATTAGGAGTGGAGTGAAGTTTATACGTAGTTTTTAGGAGTATTTCTTTGCATTCTCTTGAAGTTTTAGGTTCATTGGGAAGATAAGAAGACGAGAATTCAACGGTTCTTCAAGAAGGAAAGGAAAAATATTTGATGGGTGGTTTATAATGTGATTACGGGTTGAAAATTTGGGAGGGGAGGGTCGGATCTTGAACGGGTACATTTTGAGATCTCCCCAAGATTTTTACGATACATTTTTCACACCTCGTACGTATACATCTTTGCTGGAAGAGTTGCAAGCGGTTTTCGAAAAGAAGTACAGTATTTTGGTCGCTTTTATTTAATGACAATCCGTTCCTTCTCTTTATGGTTTACACGCGCTTTCCTGTTCTATTACTCCTACTCCCAGCACCTGTCCACTCATAAAAGATATTTCTACTGTCCTTTTCACTCTCAACCGACATAAAACTCAACCAGCAAACTCCTTCCTACAAAAACGACCGTAACCATGACAGTATAAGCTTGTCTGATTCATGTCGAATTTATTGCCACTTCTCCAGCCTTGCGAACGGCATGAACACTCCGGTTGATGGATGTTTTGTTTGAAAGAGATCAATGTTCCCTACTGCTATTTGGTAGGATGAATCTTTATCCAATGTCTCCCACCTTATGGGTTCAATGGCAGTTTCAAAGAAATTGTACGCTTCAGGAGTATTATTAACTTTTTCCCAGTTCCTTCCAAGCATTCCATTTCTCTCCTTTTCGCAACACATGTTTCAAACAAAGTACAGCATCGTTCATTCATATCAGCTCTTGAACCTGGTATCTCTATTTTTATTTTCCATGAAGACCTGGTTTCACTCAAATTGATGATTCTGATATACCTAGTCCAGACTCCTAGGATTGCTGCGAATCACCATGATGTGCACTGCCACACGTCTTGACTTGGGACTCCCAAGTTCATTCGATGTCCACTTGAGCCGTCGCGCTGGGTGGAATTTCTCACTTGAGGCGGACAATTTTTGGCACTATCATCCCGAAAAGCGTAATATATATCTTCATGCACTTCATCAGTGCGTTCGGACGGGAATGTTACACAATTATATCATCATTTATTGTTGCTTTTTCGTTCACACGTGGACAGCGGGTCTGATGAGGAAATACTTTTCTACTCGTCCAATTGCCCACTGTCCATTGCCCCCTCCCCCTCAAAAAACAAAACACGCACAGAAACCAAGAACAATTGCTTTTTCTCATTCCAGATCATCTCTCATGTGTTTTCATTACTTGCATACAAACAAGGCTATCCCTTTTCCCCAGCATAATGCTGGCACTGTCCGTGATCTGCCCTTCAGCCAATCGGCGATAAGCGCATCTTCACTCCATGATTTGAAACATCAACCCATTCAATGTTCACATCAGTGGATGTGAATACCTTTAATAACAATTTCTTAGCCACAGTAGATCATCTATGGAAGATCCCGAAAATCCTGAAGTTCATTGGAGCTCAGCTGCCCCCAGCAGGTGGAGAAATACACCTGGACCTTCGAGTCGGTAAGAGACCATTCATTATCATCCGAATGAAGACCACCATCACCTTCATCAGTGCCTAACTTACAAATACGATCATCAAAGTGTTGGAAAACGATCCGGACCGCGGAACAGGGCTTCATTTCGTGGATTCGACCAATTTGGCCTTGTGGTGGCAGCCAATTCCCCAAAAGATCATCTCAAAATTGCCAGTCCTTGTTGGGGACTTGTGAGGCGGACATAGATCCAAATTAGGGTTTTTTCTCTCACCAAAACCATACGAGCTGCATGTTATAAGGGACAAAGGCGGCGTGTGCACTTGCGTGTCTGTGTGATGGCCACTGAACGAGTGATATTCGAGACGAGAGAGGGCCTTGTTTGACGGGTGACCCTTGATTATCCCAGTGGGTCTTGGGCGATCTTCCACTTTGATTGATTGGTCGGGAATTGAGATTGATACGATTTTGACAAGATTGATGTGCGCAGGGAACTTACAATTTGAGAAAAAGCTTGTTTTGTTCGCCCCAAAAACAATTCTCTTCCTTTCTTCTTCTCTTTTTGTTCTGCACATTGATGGACAAACAACAACTCACCAATATGTACCTATTCAATCGAAACCTCAATCGGGTTCTTGATACTTAGACTTCGAATCCCCGTCTTAGATTCCGGTCTTGTGCCAGTAGCGTGCATACTTGTCTACTGCACCCCCATTTGCTAGTACTCTTGCGGATAAGGCAGATCTCAATAATTCACCGTGCTACCACTATGGCAAAACAAATGGCATTAGCTAATACCTAGTAAGGGGCAGGCACTGGGATTTTCTATCAGCGTTGCAACTTGCAATACCATTGTCTGTTGACCGTGGGTGATTCAATTGAGTACCATTGACATCAATGGCGGCGGTCTGTATTCTTGGCATATTCGGGCTTCGCTGTTTACTAAGAGGAAGGAACCTTTTTTTGACTAAATTCAGTAGCACGCTCACCATCCAGTGTCATGGTCATGCTGGTTTCGAAACTAGGGATAATACACACTAGCGGATATCGAATATCCTAATCAGTACTTAGTCGAGTGATCTACGTCAAGTCCCGACAGTATTAAGCTCCGGGTTTTCAACTAAGGCTTGGTTGGTGAAAACAGGCAAAAAAGAAAATGTACGTGGAGTAAGAATGTCAAGTGACTGTCCGTGGCATGCATTGTACCAACTGTCACCGGAGATGTTGCCGGAGATATCAGAAAAAAGGGTTGGGATCTGCCAAATGCTTTTCTTAACATGTCAAAGCAGTTCAAGGCGGCATGGAATGAGACAGTGCGAGATATTTTCATCTTGAATCTCGATATATGTTTCATTAGGGGCATCGTATCGAACGTTTCTTGGCCGCATAATCTGGGAAATTCAAGGGCAAGTTTAAGTTGATCGTAAACGTTCGGCGAGGAGATCGTCTCTCTCCCATGGGATTATTCCGCTCCGCCATTGTTGATATAATATCAGTGAAAATAGTTGGGAATGGTTGAAAATAGTATTCGCCTATATCACGAACTAAAATAGTCCCAGTATCCCCTCAACCGAATCACAGCCTCTCCATTAATAAGCATGGTTTTTGCAATTACTGTACCTCACGTTCATTTTGGTTAATTCATTACTGTCTTATGATCTTATTATTGCTTTTCAATACTGCTCATCTGCTCATGACCATGTCATGTGACTCGTGCCTGACCCCAGAACTTCTACTTACACTACATCTCGCCATGCATCCGAGTTACCGGACACTTTGACAATTCTATCGCCATCTACTACGACCAATGTGGTCTAATGTTTTTGCCATCGGAAATTGATTGACACACTCGACACACCGGTAGTTAAATAAAGTCACCAAATGACAGGTTGCCAATCATTTTGACCCTCAGTACCGAAGCTTGTCCTTCTCCTAACTTTACATGGAAAGAAATCACGGTGTCTAGCTCATGAAATGCACATGAGCTTTGTCCCTCGCTGCATCTAGATAACTCTAGTCATTCTACGACATCCATCTCAAACTCAAAATAGAAACTATCGATTGATAGAAGGTCAAGAGAAGATTGTCGAATAGCATTTCAGTGGATTTGTGCACGATAAGTGTACGCTATCGTGTACTAAAAAATTCTGACAGTGGCTTTTCAGGTACTGTAATTCTGTTACTGAGTAGCGACTCCATGACAAATAGTGATGTCTGTCAGTCAGCCAAGTGCTTTTAGTGGCACTTTTTATTTTCCTGGTGGTTAATACGATGATGAAAATGGCGTCTGTTAACTTTCTTTTTTGTCATGTCAAGTCAATTTTTGGTTAATTCATTAGGACAATCTTCTCCTTCACAGTCTGACCTCAGTTTCTGCACATTTCGACAAAGCACTGCCATGTGAAAATCCTCATGCAGCGAGAGCTTTTGCAGTCATATGAATGGTATCTGGAAAATAAGCTCAGCCAGCCCTTGCAGTCGGAGAATTTCCTGCCTTTTACATATTAATGCTCGGTGCTAGTAATGTATAATTGTGCTTATATGCCGTGAGCGAACAATTAGCAAAGTACCCACATTTGAGGCCTAGACATCACATGGTGGTGAAGGACTCGTGAAGGACTCGTATAGAAAACTCAAATCACAATGATCCAAATGTATTGATGTCTGACTGAGAATATTCAATGACGTATTGCATTTTGGATGATTCTCTCCCTTCCATATGGCTTCCATGCGGGTGGGTGTTGCAGATTTGGATCTGAGACAACCAAACGCATACTATGCCACAACCACGCAACAGTACATGATACATTCTACTGCCCCCTAACCCTCAGAAAATAACAGCGGGGAGGACGAATACCACGAATACCGGTGAGTAGAGGAGTTTTCACGGATTGCCTAAGTGCGGCGAAGTGATCGACTTTGAAAGCGGAAACGTGGAAGATACGTATAAAGTTGTGCAACGCTGAAAGCGGAATACGGATATACATATGCAAATGTGAATGTGTACCCGAACAGATTACTAAGAAAAACATAACAAGGGAAAGATTGAGCGAACAACTGAGCGATCAATGTGGGTATGCATGCATGATTGAAAGTGGACGCACGGCACGAGAGATTTTCACCCTAAGGCACATTTTCTGGGGTTCTATCTGTGTGCGTGCGTGCGTGCGTGCTTTTACAATTTGCAGTACAATGTAGAATGCGAATACTCGATTTATCAACTGTACTATGGAGGTAATATATTCATTATAAGAAGCGAAAATATGGTAAGAATTAAAAAACATTAACAATGACGCTCGCGGGTAATTTTACATCAGACTATGATGTGATAGTCTGTGATTTACTCCGCTGAGCTCATGTGAATTTGGTTTCACCGAATAACCCAAATATACAAATATGGTATCTGTTGCTGTCCATCCCAAATCCAATATACCCATGTTGTCATACATTTCCTGATAATACCTCAGTGCGGTTACCTTCCCTTACACTTGTGAGAAGCATGTAAACACCCAAAATTCAAATCTAATTTAACAAGAGAAGTCGTAGAATTAATGCGATACAAAAAAGTCGTAGAATTAATGCAACAAAAGTGCAGACATGAAAAAAGAAACGAAACTAAGAATAAAAAACCGCACACAACCTCTCCCTTTCTAAAGCCTTGGCTGGAAAAGTCATGTTCGTAACAAAAAAAAAAGTGCGCCTTCAATGCTGCAAAATGTAATCAAGTACAAAGAAGAGAAAGAATTAATAATGCTCTTGGCTATGACGCTCTTCCTGGCGCGAAGGCCATCCTTCGTTAAATGCAGATGCGGCTCTGGGACTTAGTCCTGGCTCGCTGTTGCAGAGACTCATGGGACTCTGTCCCCCATCTGCAGAGTGCATTCGGTTGTGATGCGATCGGGCAGCGTTTTCTGCACGAGCACTGTTTTGAAGAGCGGGCAATTTACGACGACGGGCGTTGATGAACCAGTTGGAGATTTGGTCTGGGAAAGTGTGTTAGTATGATGTGTAGGGGAGAGATTGGGGGGTTGGATGGCTACGCACTCAGTTGGAGACCCGTTTGTCTCATTAACAATTGCTTTTCTTCTTCGTTTGGGTAGGGATGTTCGAGGTGGTTGATGAACCAGGTTGTTAGGATATCGGTGGTGGGTTTTGGGAGGTTTCCTCGACGCTTGCGAGGTTTTGAGTCGCCCATTTCTTGGGCTTGGTAGGGAGTTGGACTGTAGCTTCCTGCGTGGTGTCTGTTGGTGAATGGGGTTTGGCCTGGATGGTGAGGGAAAGTTGCAGGTTGGGGGTACCCTTGGTCTCTGGGTTGGTGGTAACCGTAGTCGGATCGTGAAGGTGCGTATTTTTGTTGGTGGTATGAGCGGGAAGCCTCCAATGCATACTCGTTTCTTGGGTACTCATTCATGGGAGGGTATTCGCCATGGGATCGTTCTGCGGGGTTTTGGGAGTAAGTTCGTTCGTAAGATCGGTCGGGGGTGGTGATACTTGGGAGGCTTGGGCGGTATGTCGTACTCGATGGCTCAGAGATGGGAGAATGGAATGGTGGTCTCGAAGTGTGGTGATCTTGATTCTGGGCTCTGCGTTCTGGGATTGAGAGAATAGGTTGCTCTCGTCCAGACCTTGAAACATAAGGGCTTCCATGGCTAGAATGAACTCTAGACTCTCGACGGGCATTTGAGGAAACTGGCGAAGAGTTTGCACTGTGATAACCGTAGGTCGCTGTCATTGGGCTTCGACCACTGCTAACTGATTGATATCTCTCTCGTTGCTGCTGGCTTTCCTCATCATAGTAATCGTCGGATAATCTCATTCTCTTGTTTGACCCAGGAGATGCGTTTCTTTCTGTTGTGATGGGAGAAAATGATGTAGCATGTCTGTACTCGGATTCAATGGGTCTTTCCTGGCTCTCAAATCCAGAAAACATCTAGTTGGAGGTCAGTACTGTCCTGAAGGGCAACCTAGAAGATTCACTTACTGTTCGAATAGATGGAAGTGATTCCCCAACATTGGCCATGCGTGGTTTTGACCTCATCTCTACAGGCTCAAGGCCACGCCAATCCGAGCCAGAAAATACGTGAGGTCTCTGTAACAAAGCCATGGTGGAATGTGTTTCCCGTGGCTGGGTATCTTGCGTGTATGATTGTTCTGGTGTGTGAAAGTTCATTTCAAAGTGTTTGCCCGATATGGCTCTGTGGAAAGAAGAAAGAGATATAGAGAGCGGTATTGATTATTCTTATATGATATTAGTGAGAGTATAACTTGATGACATTAATGATTGAAGTATGAAATGAAAGTGTGAAAGGATGATTTGATGGCAATAAATGCCGACTTCGAGATTTATACTAAGATGTCCGAACTCTCAAAGTTCGAACTAGACAATTCGGAAGCTGCAACGGCCTAATTCAATGACTTACCAAGGCAAGGACCAAGACTAGATCGACCACTACGAGTGGCAGGATCAAACCCAAAAATCAGTTCATAAAACAATAGTGCTTCCAGAACGATAACTTTTATGGGTAATTTGATTAGGTGCAAATCTATTATGTTCCAATGGAAACTCGAGTGTTTCCCGAAAGCTGGCCTCGAATTAGACTATAACGCCTGGTGACGTTACTCCTGTAGTACTGAGATTCAACTAGGAATATTTGATGGCGATATTGGTAAAAAAGGGAAAGGATCGAAATAGAGTTCTTGCAGTGAACCGTATGTAGATTTGGTGTGTGCGTTGTGATAAATAGTAATCCCACTTTAGCTCGAGTTGATATAAAACATATTTTGACTTTTGAAAAAAACGGAATGAGGACTGAAGACTCTTAAGTATAATAGATTAGTTGAAGAAGGTAGATCAACGGGCCGCTGCACAGCTGCCGAAATGGGATTTCCATAGAAGGCTAAGAGGATGGGAGGACAGGATCAAAGTGTCAGGGGTGTTTCCCACAAGAGAATACCGCAGTGTCAGAGGTGGAGCTAATGTCCGTCCGAGGTTTGTGCTTTGGTAAAGAAGGGGGTAGGTGAGGTTAGGATAGCCTCGTCGATGATGCTACATGGAATCTGCTTGCGTCAATCCAAAAGAAAGAATAAGAACGGTTATAACTCAGTAGGCGTCTAGTGTGGCGTTTCCCCTGGAAAGTTCCAAGAAGGTTCCAGGTGTATGAGTTGCGAGTAATGGAATTAGAACTAAGGAACCCTTGATATCATGTACCTGTGAGTGAAGTTCTGTGTGGCAGGCTCTATCTAGTATGTACTTCTGAAGAAGAAGAATGGTGAGATGCAAAGATAGTGTTCGCCGCAATGGAGAAGCTGCATCCCACGAGCTAGGTTCTAAGTCAAGTGCCAGCGTCACGATGCCGGGGTCTTTTTTTGCACACTTACGCTCTTCAACCGTGCAGCTCTGCAGCCGCTATATTTCCCGGTGGAAACATTCCATGTTATTCAATACCGAGCAGGGGAATGTTCCAAACCTGCAACTTTACTGCACCTTGCCGAACGAATGATGAAGGTCAAGGTGACAATTGACAATTGAAGGAAGACTTGCGATTTGGTCGAGTGTTTATTAGTTGGTATGGAGAAACATCATACACAAACAAACTCCATGGGATGTTTTGTTTTAGTTTTTGGAAGTCCCAGCATCCGTTGATATATGTCCTAGTCGAGTAAGAAGGTTTATGGGTCAGATGTATTTCTTACTCCTTATTGCTTAGCTGCAAAGGTCAAGGTACATTAGGTGATAGCTGATGGATGGAGACTTGTATCGAGATGATGTTCAATTTGGCAGGTTTGATGGTCAATGGTCATAGGTGGAGTTCCTCCCTGGTCAGTCTGCTGGTCGGTGCTCACCGTGCTCCTCTTTCTCTTGTAGATTGTTGGTATGTGCATTGATTCTTGGACAATCAATCTATTCATGCTTTCTGGGATCAGCCTTGTCTTGTGTGTTTCCCCTCCTGTCTTCCCACATATCAGAATACGACTTTACAAATGTAATATCTGTAAGGATCCCTCTGTGGCTGACGGCTGTTTTCTTTCTCATTAATGTATCTGTTATTAACCTTTCGAAAGCCTCTTTGAGAATGCGTCTAATTCGACCTACCCCAATCGAAACTTCGAATCTGCATGGATCAGAGGGAGAGGAGAGATCATTGCCAAAAAGACATTAGAATTTTCACAGATACCTAGGTATTACTACTTGAATCACGGTGAACGGTGAATGATTTGCTGAAAATTTTGATTGCTAAAATTAAAAGCACGCGGTTCTAGACCATAACGAGTTATAGTAACGGGAATGCCTACAAGGCCCTCGAATGGGAGGTTAATTTATGATTTGGGGTTAGGTGGCTATTCCGCACTGTAACTAGCAGGGCAGGTAACACGTCTCTAAAGTCATTAATTTATGAAATCCACAATTAGAAAGTTTACGAGAAAAGATACTATAATTCGATATCTCACATAAATGAATTTTGATAAAACTTTAAGTTTGTGGTTATATATAGGGAATAGTAAACCAGAGATATCCCTACGCATCATACAGCATCATTGTCGTTGAAACAGAACATACAGTGCAGTGCAGCGTCTAGAAGATATTGGCGCTCAGTTACTCCTGAATCTCTACTTCCGTAGGTTACGAGAATACACCATTTAATCATCTCTCGCAGACAGGGAAATGTTCAGATATCAAAACAGAAACTGATGAAGTTTGGCTAGAAACCATTTCGTGTACAATAAAGTTCCAAATACAAAGCTTGCCTACCTATGATTCCCTATGATTCCCTATGATTCCTCGTTGAGAACGCATGTCTTGCTTCTGATCGTGCTACTACGATATATTGACCGATTGGACCGAGGCTACAATTTGCGGTGACACAGCATTAGCTTCAGCAGAGTGAATTCATAATGTGGATGACCTAAAAGCTGAATTCATGGAGATCAAATCCCCCTTCCGAGCGAGTCTGTGAAAATGGCAATACATAGGGCAAGACATCCAAGGGTAATCTGCCGGGTTCTAGGAAGTAACTTTGAGATGTTTGATTAGCTCACCACTCGTTTCAACTACTACCGATCCCCCCTCGCAAGCCACGACGTTCAGGCAAAACTGACTGGCTTACTTCTACCAGTGACATGATCGACACCGGGAGTTGATGATTTTCCCAGAGATCCTAGGGCATGAATGGCGAAGAAAAGAATGACAGCTGTACAGAACAGGGACATTGTTATGAGCCGAGAAAGCTTTGGCAATTGACAAATAAACTGTCTAGATCATTGTCAGTGATTTATTTGGGGAGATCCAAATCGCCGAATACCCACCAGTTAATATACCTTTTGAACTTGGGATAAGGTAATGCGACCTATCACTATTGCTACTGCTTACGCTTGCAGGATGCAGAACGATGGGATCTTGCAGGTTTTTTCTCTCTGACCCGAGTGACCCGTCTGCTTGGGACCAACCATAACGATTTTTCCAATTGAAATAGAAAATCAAATACAATACTAGAACGGCTGGAAGCCGATAAGCACCCTCGAGGCACCCAGTCTAAATTTTTCAAGGTCAAACGGATCTGAGTGTAGGAGTTCGTTTATGATTCATCCGTTCTTCTCCATGTAAGAGAAATGTGAATCTTGAAACTATCTGACAAGTGACACAATTTTCGCAAGTAAATCTCAATATGGCATTTTTCAATCCTCAATGGGATTCTTGGGGATAGGGTATAGTAAAATTTAGCCACCAAATTTCAAATTTAACCCCCGAGCTCTCCGAGATCGTGGGGCTCGGTTATGGCTTGGGACATGACATGACATATTGCAAGGCCCGGATACTTCAGTTCTTTTACATATCGGTTGGCAGGTTTGATGCTACAGCAAGCATGCAGCAGACGACTGGCTGGACTTATATGAAGGCCTTCTCACGGCACCGTCATCGACGTTACGAATCGAGATAGATGTCGTTATGGTTGGGTAACATGCATAGTCAGACGTTTATTAGACTAGTCACTTAATTTTGTGAGATTTATTAATTTGATATTACAGAGGTTTCTATGGTCGTGTTGGGCTATACTACACAAAGTCCCTTCAATCGTGATGATCTGCGGGGTTTTGTTACAATGCAGTTATCAATTTATATACCCATGCTTGATGTACCTGCACCTGGCCGTATAACTTGCATTTTTGGAGAATGTATACAAAGTACTAAGCGAATCATTTCTTGGGAATCCTCTTCTGTTTGCTATCAGTATAGTGAACAACAGTAAGACATGTGATCATAACATACTGCAGCCATCCTTCTCATGATTCTAGTATGCCAGAGATACTTACTTGGCTACGGCTGGAAATGTCATGGCAAGTTCAGATGAAATATACCATGATTGTAAATATTTGTACAATCTTGCGAATGTCGTCTTTCCGAGACACCATGTTTATGGAAATTCGTACTGATCCTTCTCAGTATTCTCGGAAAGCAGAAGTCAACGCAGTGAAAGTGCAAATTGCCATGGAAAAATAACCGACTTCTCGTGCTTTGGGTTAGGTTGTCATGCTTTCTGTCCTCCGGATTTCCTTACTTGCAGCATCTTGTGCTTTATTTGGTTCGAAGCATCTAAGCCACAATTTAATGTAGAGGGGCCATGAGCCGCCCCTCGAGCCCATGAAACGACCAGAGATCTCAAACAACCTAGATCCAAGCAACCCTCAGTGTCACGGCAAGAACAAAAAATCCAAGGATATTCGAGGATGCTACCCAAATGGCAGCGGGAGTCGTGGGTCCCATAGTGCAAAGTGTCATCACTTCAAACTTTGCAACGGGTGTCATGGAAATCGCTGATGTTTCCAGAATAGGAATTTCCAACGAAACTTCGAACGGTTGCATGTTTGGCAAAAGAAACAAATATATGCAAACTAAAGCATGCCAAATGGTTCATCGGGGAATTATCTTGCACGGACGGGTTCTAATACTTGACGGCCTTCAGAATTGAAAAAGATAGCTGTCTATTCATGCTAATTGTGATATGCTCACGCGTTTAAGACCGAAGAACCCTTAACTAATTCATCCTATACCATCCAATCGAAAGCTTAAAAGCTTTGCGATTGGATGTCATATCTGCGACTGTATGCACAACTGCTATGTGCAACCCCTCCATCTGTCAATCATTAAAGTTAATTCACATCAACAGCGGCACCTTTCCACCGACAGGGAGTGAGGACCCTGGTATTTACTAGCAACAACATTGGCTGCTCTAGCTGTCATGGTTGTATAAGCTCGCCACCAAACTTTTGTATGCAGAAATTCGCAAGAATATCTGGAAGAGGAAGTGCTGACGCTTATTATGTAATCCGTTATGCCCTTACCCGGAAAGCTGCCTGTACTGTACTTCTACAAATGTATAATATGTATGATACAAACACGCCAACAGCCAAGTTCAGCCAACATACGGAAATGACCCATACAGCATTCAATCCGGAGGGCGCAGCTTCAATTCATCAAGTGTAGTGTGTGCGGCATGGTGTGCGGGTATGGCCGTGTGGAAATTCCGGGGTTCCTGGAACTCGCAGCCGGAAAACGAAAGCCTGAAAGTCACAACAGTACAGAGTACGCAATCCTAATTTACTGTAGGACGTAATCTTCGTTTGTACTGCTGTGGTTACGTTGTGTAATCGCCCACAACCTCACCAACGGTCAATTTCAAGATCCTCAACTTTACAATATCGCTCCTGTTCAGTGCCATGCACAAAGCACCATCAAGCATTGACACACACTCGGTACAGAGTAACCCCAAGAAGGTTCCACCAAATCACAGGACTTTACCCACGAGCTGATGTCCTCGAGACTATCGCACCTTCGCCAATCTAAAGCGAGCGGAAGCCAGCAGTATTGGGAACATCCGGCTATTTACATATCTAATGTGCAACAGAATTGGCCCATCGAGTCCACATTGTTACCAGCTCGGGGACCTAAAAACCGAGTAGACGGCGCAGCACATCTCGCTACCTGTGGCTAGCCTTTAGGGTAAGTGGTACAGATACTGCCAGTCTTGCACGCAGCTCGCCGTTCCAAAACCAGTTCATCGGGATCTCATGTTCTTTTGGTTCCGACTTTTGAATTAATAGCTCGGAACGGGTATATAGCTGATTGCTAGAAATTCTCTCCGATATCTAATGTCTCACTTTGCTAAGTAACCATTCAAAGCTTACTGCATACTTCGATTTTCACTTCCTGCAATAGCTACGAAGGTGTAGTGGTTTGCTTCGCCTCGTGGATGCCATATCCAAGAACGTTGCAAAATCAAGGGGTTCCACCCAATGAACACCAGCGCAATATCTTAACCTTTTCATCTTTTTCGATACTGCATG